TTAGAGGTGTCTTGGTTAAAGAAATAGAAGTTTTAGGGAGCTTAGTTTTGTGGTAGATCATTTTAGTGGGACTTGGGAGAGAGATGCTCCTCTCGAAAGGTTAGTCATTTTGCAATTTGTCTTTGACATTTACTATCGTGTGTTTTTATGTGTTTGTGTATCTAATCTCACATTGGTTGGGGAGAAGAACGAAGCATTCTGTATGAGGGTGTGGAAACTTCTCCCTAGTCGACGCGATATAAAAACCTTGAGGGGAAGTCCGAAAGAGAAAGTCTAAAGAGGACATAGTGATGGGCTTGGACCGTTACAAATGGTATCTGAGCTAGACACTGGGTGACATGCCATGGAGAAGGCTGAGCTCGGAAGGGGGTGGATTTGGGGGTCCCACATTGATTGGAGAAAGAAACGAGTGCCAGTAAGGATGCTGGCTCTGAAGGAGAGTGGATTGTGAGATCCCATATCGGTTGGGGAGGAGAACGAAGCATTCTTTATAAGGGTGTGGAAACCTCTCCCTAGCCGACACGATTTAAAAACCTTGAGGGGAAGCCCGAAAGAGAAAGCCCAAAGTGGACAATATCTGCTAGCGGTGGACTTGGGCCGTTACAAATGGTATCAAAGCCAGACACCGGGCAATGTGCCAGCGAGGAGGCTAAGCCCCGAAGGGGGGTGGACACAAGGCGGTGTGTCAGCAAGAACGTTAATTGTGAGATCCCACATCGGTTGGGGAGGGGAATGAAGCATTCTTTATGAGGGTGTGAAAACCTCTTCATAACAGACGCGTTTCAAAAACCTTGAGGGGAAGCTCGAAAGGGAAAGCCCAAAAGGGGAATGAAACATTCTTTATGAGGGTGTGAAAACCTTTTCATAACAGACGCGTTTCAAAAACCTTGAGGGGAAGCTCGAAAGGGAAAGCCCAAAGAGGACAATATGTACAATAATGTTGTATATCTCCTTCACCATGAACAACACAATATCTCAACAGAAGAAACATAATACAAAAAGTAATCAACACCGAGAGGACAAAACATCATTTAGATTAACAGATCACAATCACTATCGAGTTCAATCCAAATCAAGGGAAATTCAGTCACTCAAACAAAAGCTTCTTACAGAATCAAACAATAACACATTCCAAAACTGTTGTCAAAGTTTGTATGTAAGGAAGACATACCTTTGGTCCCTTCACAGCAAGAAAGTCCCCCATACGCATTTCTCGAAAATGATGCGACATCCTTCCTTGGGGATACATCTAAATCACACACACAATCATATAAGAATCAGAAGTGGAATAATGATAATCAATGTGGCATCATTAACCTGTAGCAGATTTATATATGTACCTTTATGACTAGCTCAAAATATCCAACATCAGAGTCCAAGGTAACTGGGGTGTAAGATTTAATAACCTCTTCACCTTGGCTATCCTTTCCCCTGCACATATGATTTTAAACAGAGGGAAAATGAACCAAATATTAGGTGTGTTAACTGCTGAGTATCATAGCTGCATCGCTATAATGGCTGGGAAAACAAATATATTGGATAAAATGAAACCTGCAACTTAGATGCTGTCCAATAGGAAGACCAAGAATTGAATCGGTCTTGGGAAGTATAAAAATGAACTTTGCCACATTATGGCTCAGCTTCGTGCGCTTAACAAGTTTAAACTCCTTAAAGTTATCAGGATCCAAGCAGGCTGTAGTCACAAACCACATGCCACATATGAACCAATCAATTTTATTAAGATATCAAGAAATTGTGATGATATCAAGAAAAGATGGTTCAAGAACATTAGCTGCTAATTAGATAACATTATAGGTGTTAATCCTCTCATAAGAGTCAGGGCAAGAAAAGAGCATTATCTTTTTTAAAATGCATATTTCCCATAACATCTACCATTTCACATTGACCAAGAGCTCAACAAAGATGAAGATAATTTTCATGGCCATTAGAATTTTGATCAATTAGCTAGTTTGAAATTTAAACACGTCCAAAGGCCTAGCTAAGCACTTGACCTTTTTCTGCAAATGCTACCACTTCTATGCTAAATTTGTGAGTGGTTGGAGAGGGGAATGAATCATTCTTTATAGGGGTGTGGAAACCTCTCCCTAGCATATGCGTTTTAAAAACCGTGAGGTTAACGGCAATACATAACGGGCTAAAGTGGATGATATCTACTAACGGTGGGCTTGGGCTGTTACAAATGATAGAGCTAGACACCGGGCGGTGTGCCAGCGAGGATGTTGGGCCCCCAAGGATTGTGAGATACTGCATCGGTTGAAGAGGGGAACAAAGCATTCCTTATAAGGGTGTGGAAACCTCTCCCTAGCAAGCGCGTTTAAAAACCGTGCGGCTGATGGCAATATGTAATGGGCCAAAGTGGACGATATCTACTAGCGGTGAGCTTGGGCTGTTACAAATGGTAGAGCTAGACACCGGGTGGTGTGCCAGCAAGGACATTTGGCCCCAAAGGATTGTGAGATCCCGCATCGGTTGAAGAGGGAAACAAAGCATTCCTTACAAGGGTGTGGAAACCTCTTCTTAGCAAACACATTTTAAAAACCATGAGACTAATGGCAATACGTAATGGGCAAAAGCGGACAATATCTACTAGTGGTGAGCTTGGGTTGTTACAAATGGTAAAGACACTGAGCGGTGTGCAGAAAGGGCATTTGGCCCCCAAGGATTGTGAGATCCTGCCTCGGTTTGAGAAGGGAACGAAACATTTCTTATAAGGGTGTGGAAACCTCTCCCTAATAGACACGTTTTAAAAACCGTGAGGCTGACGGTGATACTTAACGGGCTAAAGTAGACAATATCTACCGGAGGTGGTAATCAAAACATGTAGCTATCAATATTAATCAAGGAGGAGATAATTCCTCCCTTATACCAATGTAAAATCATCATAAGAAGTAAAAGGTTAAGCTAATGGATCAGTATAAATTCAATCTTAATAAATACTTCAACACAGTTCAAAAACATCACAACCCACGAATCAAAACATCAGAGCATCACAAATTCGAACTGGATAGAGAATTTAAAACACCCAATAAACCAAACCAGTAAATAAAGACCCATAAGGCTTTCATTTCAAAGAATCAAATCAGAAGGTGGAGTAAAACCTCTGGATGCTGGTTTTCTGGAGGAGACAAGGAAAAAGGCACCAGCAACAATGGCAACCAGGGCGGCGGCTAAGCCAGTGAGAACCTGAGCATCGAGAGCCTGTAAGATCTCCATCAGAAATTGGGAGACTTGGAAGAATGAGGGGTAGGTAAGAAGGAAGAAAAATGGTGGGTTTAAGGAGTTGGATTTGAGTCCTGGTCAAGTAAATGATGATGGAGATCCAGAAAATGTCAAAGGAATGGGACGAATTAAAATATTCGTTACTTGCCGTTGGTTGCCTGGTCGTGGAGGGAAGTGTTCTTTATTTCCTTTAAATATTACTTAGTTCTTCTATTTCATACCCCCACATACTAACGCTAAATTTAAATATATTGTTGAAATGAAATAAGTTTCCCAATATAATAACTAAAATGTTCTTTTTTATATATATATTTATAAAAAATATCAAAATAAATTATTAGTTCATGGAAGACGATCTATCTGTCATGTTCAATCATTAATCAATCTAAAAGTCTAAGTTAACGGATTATGATAAATTTGTCACAATTTTTTTTTTTTATAATGTTTTCTTAAATGTGCTATTGCAGTTTCTTCTGTTTGAGGGAGTTCAAAATTTGGTCCGTTTTATTTTTGTGTTCACGAAAAAAAAAAAACAAAAAAAGATATCATTATATTAATGGTATAATTTGGTTGCTTTCTTGCTCAATGGAAATTAACATAGGTCACCTATTGAGTATACGTATATCATCATTTAGTAATTAAATAAGGTTTCACTTATACTATCTTTGCTTCGATGCTTAGTATGGAATATCATCATGAGTACACGCTTAGGTTTCTAGACACCTTTTAAATAAAAGATTAGTTATCAACGATTATCTTATGTGTTTGAGGATCTAAAGTTTACGGATATTTCATTTACTTGTTTAAGATTGTTATTAAACTTATATATTGATAAAATTTATTCAAGATTAAAAATAATATTTAACTTTTTAATGGATGATTTTAATTATATTTATGTTATTGTCATTAAACGTTAAATAAAAGAAATATCTTATATTGAATTTTGTTGAAATTTGAATTAATTATATTTTCCATTGATTTAATAGTTATTGAGATGAATAAAAAAGGAATGGGTTGATGCAAACAGCTTGAGAGTGCGGTGGCGTTTCATATGACCAACTATTTTTTTTTTTATCAAATTTAATAAGGCAATAAACAAGTGGTCTATTTTAATCATAATATTATTATTTTTTAAATAATAATAATGAAGAAATATTCATGTGACTTGTGAGTTTATAAATTATTCCTTCATGAGGCACATGCCATTAAACAAGATGGAGAAGAAAAAGGGTTAACTTACCAATCACATGGATGTTGAATCTATTTTTAAAATATACCAGTTTAAATGGGATTTTGACTTGAAAAATTATAAGTTAAAAATTATAAATAGAGCAACTGATAACATAGTTCAACTAGTTAATGCATATATTCTCGAACAAAGAATTAAAACATTCCTAACCAAAGAATTAGAGATTCAACTTCTTTCCAATCTTACATGTTAAAGTAGAAAAAGGGAAAATACACATTTATGTTGTATTATATGATGAATGTGATGTTAGCATGTAGAATTGTTATGTACATTGAAAAGTCAATCATGAGTTTTCATGCATGCTATGGATGACTGCTATCCTGAAAAAATGATTTCAGTAATTACTCATTTAGTATCATGATCATGAGATGTTATGACAGGTAAGGCTCATTACCTGTCTCAGTTCTACTGATTGGATGCCACTTCTCATTAATTGGTGGTAAAATCTCCAAATACTACCGCGAAAGGTTAATCGTCTACTACTCCATCCAGCACTTGCAGGATGCTTGAATTAAACATTAAAAGATTTTTCATAATCAGCATTTTATGTGATGAATAATCAGGCAGTCTAGCATATGTTAGGAACCTAAAATAGAAGCATATACCAGTGTGTAAAAGAATCTGTTTCTGTATAAATGAACTGAATGCAACAGACGAAAAGAAAGCAAACCGCAGCTAAGAAAAGAAAAGTCGATGCCTTCCCATAAATTCTACAAATGCACGTATAATTATCATTGTTGAGAGAAGCCAATTTTGCTGGTTGTTAACCTGGATTAAGATTCGACTTCATCATCTGACAGCAAGAATTCCTGTATTTTCTCCCTGCAATTAAGAACAGAAATATTCAGCTTGAATATTTTGAAAGTAATACTTAATGAGCTCAACATAGTGATGTCTGAAGGAGACTGCATGCTACAACGCACTTTAAGCATACAACTACATGAAACAACAACAATATTTCAGTAATTTCATCAAGTCCATCTAAAATGACTTAATACAGACATTTTAAGAAACATACAAAAACAGGCTGGAAGTTGTTTAATTTATCTTATTCTACTTTTAACTTTTTTTGATATGCCCAGGTTCAGTATCCAAGGGAAAAAGCCTTGTGGGAAGATGATAACAACAGATATTAAGAATAAAAAATTCAGTTATCATAAACTTGCACTATCCTTTTTCCTTCATAGTACCAACAGTAATACAAGACTTAACCTCACCTTAGCGAATTGGAATTGCTAGGGCTGCCATGCATTGCTCGAGCAACCATAGAGGGTGGCAAGAGTGAAAGAAGAAGTTCTTGCGATATGGAATCCTTGGGAAGAATCTGAAATTGACAACTTGAACAACAGGTACCAGCCAAAATTGAACTTACCTGGCCAGCTTCAAAACTCCTTAAAGTTTGCACATCGGACATGTTAAGTGGACCATTGCAGACTGCACAAAATGTTTCCGATGATAAAGAGTTAACATGCTTAAAGTTATTTCTCTTTTGACGCCTTTTGGTGGCCAAAGGAACACCATTACTTTCATTCAAATCTGGAATTCTGCTAAAGTTGAATGGAGTAAGCTTGCCAGCAGTTCTCACAATTGTAGACTCACGAGAGGGATTCTCTTCCTATAAAAGAAAGTATAACAAAATTTCTTCAGTCAAGTTCTGCAAAACAGTCCTGGGAAGGACAAGTGGCCTTACAACTCGTAGACGCATTTTTTTTCTTACTCAGAAACAATCACTTGAATTAGAAGGTGAAATTAGAGCAGTTCCGTTAGAAGTTAAATTGTTTCCATGCCCAACCAAAATTGCTCGTAAATTGAACACACAAACATGTCTTATCGCTGCACACAGCAGTGATTCAATAGATTAGTTACCCTTCACAAAGGTCATTCTCCTAAGCTAAAATGTACAAAACTGCATATTTTTCTAAATCAACTTCCTACTTGTACCTGCAATAGAGCCACAAATGATGAGACCAAGTCATTGATGCCAGAAAAGGATGTTTTGGTCAGTTCCACTGTCTTTAGACTGCCCTGCCAAGAACCAGATCTTATCATCAGTTAGATTCATTTGAAGTGTGCAAATTAATGATGCAACGACTACAAGCAAAATTAACAGCGGTAAAGAACTAAACATGACAAAGTTAACCAAGAATTCATTCTGGTGATAAACCTAACAAATACAGACCCATCAGCACAGCAAAGCATGTTGAGCTCTTGTGCAAGACAATCACGTAGAGGAAGTGCCACTGGGACCTCCCACCTTGCATCAACATACTGTATATCTGCCGGTAAGGAATATCCTTGGCCCTGCTTGAATTAAAATAGCGAAGTCATACTCAGTGCATGGACCTATCCCAAATGGGAAGATTTGGAGAACAGAACAAAATAAGCAGCTTGCAACAATCATTAGCCGTAAAATTTAAAGCAACAGAATAATACATAATAAGATTCCGTAGCTACCCTAGCTATTTTCTATATCTTAATAGAGGTGTCTGGCACAATGCAACCCCCCCCCCCCCCCCCCCCCCCCCCCCCCCCCCCCCCCCCCCCCCCCCCCCCCCCCCCCCCCCCCCCCCCCCCCCCCCCCCCCCCCCCCCCCCNCCCCCCCCAAGCATCACCAATTTTTCCTGCAGTGTAGTGCCAGCCATGCCTAAATTATAATTAAAAGTCCACAATTGCCAAGCTCATACTTAATGATCCAATAGCAATGCACCAACCTTCTATTCTGGTCGGTCAATATCATGAGTCTGAAAACACTAGTAATTGAATATTCAAATTAATTGCTTAAAACTAAAATATGTAAATGTATGCTTAACAAATGAAGAAAAACCTTAACAGTGGAAGAAATCACATGGCAAGCAATCCTTGAAGTACATGTCCCAAGTACAAGTCTGTTGTATCCATTTTCAGCGGCAATCTGCATAACAAACAATAGGACTAAGAATTTCCCTCTCTTTGATTGCAAGCTAATTGAAGGAATAAGTTGAGGAGCAAACTTTTTGCAAGGATAACATCCGCAAATGTGAGATAAGGTCTTCCTTTCCTGTGACATCACTGACTGTATCTAATAACTTCTTCAACTTCTCCCTTCCGTCACTCAAATTTGAAGAGTATACACTCTCAATTTGAACAATATGCAAATCTTTTATCGGTGGAGATAGACTTGACACAACTGATTGGATGGTTTGAATTGTTCTGTCTATCTCATGCAAAGGGATAGGACAAGCAGAGGTTTCATCAATATAAGCAACTCCAACACCAAAAACATGCAGTGATCTATCCCTACTTGCTTCAAAATTTTTGTGTGCTTTAACTTGCATCTCATGAACAAATTGCAAAGCCACCCTGGAAGTTTTGTTGGAAAGGGGAGCGTAAGTCTCTTAGATCATGAACAGTTTCCAGTGCCTCCAAGATAAATTAGTAATAAAAAAATCCGATTAAATAATTGTATAGGTGACTTTCTAAAGGAATACCAGATCATTCATCACTAAGAGCTATCATGATGTTCATGCCAAAAAAAAAAAAAGAAAAAAAAAAAGGAGCTATCAAGATGTTAATCAGTTCAGTTCTTCTAGCTATCTTATAAGAAAAAACAGCTTACAAATCATATCCCACATTGATCATATAAAGTTGTGCACTTTAACTCTATCACTAAGAGGTAGAAAATAATTCAACTCAATAAATAATGAATCAAATGTAGAATGAGAGGATTCAAAACTGCAACCTCCTAGAGGAAGTAGAATGCCTTAACAGCTGAGCTAAGCGCATGTTAGTATAACTTATTAAGTTCTTCCTTGAAGTATTGGCAAAGGATAGCACTTAAGAAGTATGCAGCCTCTTAGAGGAAGTAAAATGTCCTAGCCACTAAGCTAAGTTCATGTCAATATAACTCAATTAAGTTCTTCCTTGAAGTATTGGCACAGGATAGCACATAATATGTTTGCACGATGATAGCAAAGCATTTCAATGGTCAAAGAAATTCTAGGTAGTCACTTTAGTTCTTATCGTATCTAAACATGATTTTGAGTTCATTAATGAAAAGTGGTTTCATTGGCGCTCAGAAAGTTTCGTTACTGGGGTTACCATCAATGGACATGCTGAGATAGATAATAGACTAATCACCAACCTGACCAAATAAATTTTGGGCCACAAAGTAAGTTTCATTACTGCTCAAATTTAGACCAAATAAAATTGATTGACTCACGTCAACTACAAATAAACCTAGAGGCCTGCTCAAGGATCCTAATAACTATACACAAGCTGCAAATCTTTTGAACCAATCTGCGGAAAGAGGCATACAAATAACAGAAAGACGCGAGAATATCAATAGCGCTCAGGATTCTAACTAAATAATCAGTCTGACAACTGTCAAGTCCACTCGCAACTTCCAAAACGTAGTTCCCTGCGCACCCACAGCCATGAACCAATACATAACAAGAGAAAAAATAAATATAATTAGTCTAAAAAGAAGAAGGACCTGGAACAAGGACCCCCGGAGAAGGCAACAAGCACTTTGTCAGAAGGAGAGATCATGGCGTTCGAGTTTACAGCCTGCCGAAACTTTGCAAACAAGTTGCTCCGAAAGCAATCGCTGCAAAAGCGCCCATCGTCTCCTTCTTCAGAGCTAGACATGCGCTCCTTGGCCTTGCATTTAAAGCAGAGATGTGTATCACCACTGTCTCCGTACGTGGCGGCTAATCGATCGGTCTTGTTTGTTCGAAGTGAATCTTGTTCGACTGTTGCCTCGTCATCTTGATTTCTATAGCAGTTGGACTGACAGGCTGAAGAATTACACGCCATAGGTGGTCGAGAGTAAGTTGCCTGAGAATCAGAGCATGCCAAGGCTTCGTTGCAAACTTGCAAATTTTGCAGACGCGCCAAAATGAGGGCCTAATACAACCCAAACCCTAGCCAAGGTCTGGTCTTACCATTCTAGGTCAACCCAACTGGACCAAACCAACTTTGGTCTGATTTGGCTTGGCGCGCGTTTCCTTGGGGCGTTGGGTCAATCTAATATGATTGTTAATTAACGCAACCATCACATAAAATCACATACGACAAAAATGGCAACACATCACATAAAGTCACATACACCAAAAATTGCAACACATATCTAACCCTAATAGTAAGGCCGTTCGAGAAAAATACAATTTCCAATAAGATATTGTTCTTCAACGCATAATTATTTTATTGGACCATTGCTTAAATCTGCATATCCAGGAGAAAGATCACTCGTTGTGTGAAGAAGTCATCATCACTGCTATACAACAGTTAGAGCCATACGCCTTCATGGGGATATCTCTCATGGCTACTAGAGGGTTGTCGGGGTTGTTTCTAGTTATTGGTGTGACTATACCACACCACCTCGTAGTGGATCGTTGATCAAAGCACGAACGAAAAAAATGAGAAAGATTGAAAGAGAGGGATATATGCGACGAGTCCAAAAGCGAAGGAGAGCATAACCAATAACCGACTAAGAGAAAGGGATGAGTTGTAAGAGGAAAACGAGTACCAACAAAAGTAGAAGAGACAGAGCACGAAGATGAACGAGCCAGGAAGGGGTCGATATAAGCTATGAGTTCGATTTTTATAGCATCAACATTGAAGAAGATAACATTATGGTTTGAATAATATACTCTAGCACAAGCTTAGCTACATAATTTGAATGTTGGAGATAATCTTGTGATGAAAAGAAGAAAAAGCGTGGCCTCTAGTAGCCAAACCATGGAAAAGCCAAGACATTCGATGGGGCGACTGGAGGACGTGGCGAACAAATAAACCATCAATCTAATACCAAATAAATGGATTAAACAAAATCCTCAACACTTTGTAAGGCGGGACGAGGCCTCATTTTACAGCCTCAATTGCCAAATCCTTCACTCTCCCTTCAGCAAGAGAGAGAAGAGAGCCGGCCAGAGCACCCATGGAAATGGTAATGACCTTCAGCAGCTCCTTATCCTCTTCCCCATTGGTTTACCCCATAATCAAACTCGGAACAGTCTTCACTCCTCAAATTAAGCAGCTCCATGCCCTCACTTCGTCCTCTAGGATTTCAACTTCATTGCCTAAACAAGCTCTCAGCTCTCGCTCGAGAGTTCCAATTCGATGTCCGGTCAAATGCTCTGTCTCTGAAGCTACTGAAGCCCGCACCGGTATCCCCTCTCTCTCTCTACGTCCGTTTTATTTGTTCATTTATCGGTGTGTTGATGAGAAGAGAGGAAGCTACTGTCCATTTCTCGACCTCTGTATTTGCTATGCTGCGACGAGGAATTAGGAAACCAGTATCGATAGTTCTTATAGTTTATGAAAGTTTTTGTACTTGTGCAATCTCTCTTTGTTTTTGGTGATTTTTATGGTTTTTATGTGTTGGGAGATTATTTGGTTGCATCAACGTTAAATCTAATATTGGTCTTCCACCCCACCCAAAATTTATTACTAACTTTTTTCTTTGGAATTTTCATTTCTGGGCTGATGTTTTGCATTAGAGAAGAGTCAACTGATGAGGAGACAAGATATAAGGAACATAGCCATAGTGGCTCATGTAGACCATGGAAAGACAACTTTGGTCGATGCTATGTTGAAACAAGCGAAGGTAATACCCAGATAATCATTTCTAATGTTTGTTTTGCACTGCCGGTGTTAATTCTTCATTCTGTTGTATTACGATTGCATGATTTCCAAATCGTCAGTACTGTTTAGTGCAGCGTTATGCAATGATTTTGAGCAAAGACGAACTATGTTGTACCTGCTGGGTTATGCCCTATTTATTTTTTATGTCAATCATTTGATGTACTAGAGCTTAGAGCTAGAGCTAGAAATGATCATGAAAAACATTCGAAGTACTTTATAGTTTTTTTTTCCCATACATCCAAGGGTGTAAAACTCCTCGAACAATTTCTCCTTTTGGAGTTCATGTAATTTATTTTCTAAAAGCAATCTAAGACTGTGTACTTAGCAAGAAACGTTGACAATAATAACCTTCAACCTAATGCATTTCATATTTTCAATTGCAGGTATTTCGTGACAACCAAGTTGTGAAAGAAAGAATAATGGATTCAAATGACTTAGAGCGTGAAAGAGGAATTACAATACTGAGCAAAAATACATCTATTACATATAAGGATACAAAGATCAATATTATTGACACTCCTGGGCACTCCGATTTTGGCGGTGAAGTTGAACGCATTCTCAATATGGTGGAAGGGATTCTTCTTGTGGTATTCTTCAATATATTCTACCTATTTGAAACTATGGTTCTATCTTCAAATTTATATTTTAGATATTTAAAATTTGATTTTGGTTTAAATACTATTTTGGTCCCTATAATTCTTGCTTTGGTTCGGTTTGGTACTTGGTACTTTCAAAATGTCCATTTTGCTTCCCATACTTTCAAAATTTCTCTTAAAAAGTAACTTATTCAGTCCCTTTTCATTTCCATTTTTTCCTAATTTTTCAATCATAATTTTAGCATGATATTTCACTTACTGAACTTCAAATGTAATTATAAATTTGTATTAAAGAGTTTCTATTGAGTGAAAATTTATGCTTAAATTTGACGAACAGGGGCTAAATTGATAACTTTTTAAAAGAGTAGGGACTAAAATTAATTAAATTTTTATATCGACGTGTCAATTCTTGGTGCACTGTGGATCACTTGTCACTTTCCAATAACCTACTAACAAAAGAAGCAACCTCAGAGGCTTATCTCATGCTTGTCGTGTCTACCCATTTTTTTATGGCGTCAAGTCAGTGGAAAGTTGAAGGTTTGATAGAGTGATTGCAAGTGAGTTAAAGATAAAATAGTAAGGTTGCAAGTACTTTGGTTCTAGATAAATGATTGTTAAATATTTGACTAATTTATAATTTGTATTGCCACCTAATCAAAAGTAACAACTGTAAGTTTGATAACTTGATGTAGCTTCATCATAAAAATATTATTAGATTAGGGGCTAAAGGGTTATATGGGCGTTTTTTCAAAATTAGGGGCTAAATTTTACTATTTATCAAGTTTAATGGAGTAGAAGGTATTTCCCTCTCACACATTTTATGGAGAGGAATATTTGATGGAAATAGTTTATTATAATGTTTGTTACAGGGTTCTTGCTCTTTCAACTAAACACCTTATTCTTCACCTAACCCAAAGGGTGGGGTGACTTCCCATGGATTTACCGTACATGTTTCTCTATTTCTATTCTTAAGTAAAAAATTTCGTTTGAAATCTGATTGCATAGTTTGAAACTGAGACCTTTAGCTTTCCTTGGAGTTTCTTTCTATCGAAGTTCAATAACCTACTAAAATTTCTAGATAGTTTCCATGAAAAAAAAAAAAAAAAAAAAAAAAAAAAAAAAAAAAAAAAAAAAAAAAAAAAAAAAAAAAGAAAGAGAGTAAAGGATTTTAAGTTGCAGATGGGACTGTTTCAGAATAAAAATGCTAAACAAACTCAACTTATTTTTCAAATGGACAAGGCTGATATGCCAGAGCAAATTATCAAGTAATAAGGTCCAAAAGATTTTATTTTCATCTTGCCTATAATTTTACTAAAGGTATCTTCTAAAATATGTTTCTAACTTTGATCTTCTTGTGCTATCACCTCTTTTTCTATGTATTTATCTAGGTAGATTCTGTTGAAGGTCCAATGCCACAAACAAGATTTGTGCTTAAGAAGGCCCTAGAGTTTGGGCATGCTGTTGTTGTCGTGGTCAACAAGATTGATAGACCTTCAGCTCGTCCAGATTATGTGATCAATTCCACTTTTGAACTATTTATTGAACTGAACGCGTCAGATGAACAGGTACATTTACAGTATTTGAAAATCATGGATAATGGCCTTATACCTATGCTTTATGATAAGAATCAACAAGATAATAAGTATTGAGTAAAGGATATATAATAAGTGCATTGAACAATGTGGCAGAATATTACAATTTACAAGGTACCAGACAACAACCAATCTTTTGAAATTAACAACATTATTGTTATAACATATATTGTATGTATAGTCGTACTTTATTGTAATTGCACATTCTTGAGTTTAGAGTTCTCGTGTACTTGTATATGTGTGTCTCTCTAACATGGAGTACATTGATATTTTGCCAAATACTATTTGTACGGTATTAGAGCATTAGGTACTTTCCTAGGACATTTTGGATTTGTAAACCATTATGGTTTTGGGAACTTTTGGGTTTGGGGTTTAAAACCCTTTTATTTTTCACCTTAGGTTTTGTAAGCTTTATTGTTTTCACTTAAACCCATTGCCACCATCACCGTGGTCAACGTACGTCATTACCACTGCAAGTTAGATAAAAAAATTCATCCTTTTTTGTCACCATCCAATCCACGAGGAAGGCCACCTTCCATTTTGTTAAAGACACTTTATATATTAGAGCAACATTAAAGGATATTTAACCTAACTTTAAGATAGAAGTAAAGGATGATGTATAACAATATATATATATTGTAGGCAACGAGAAGTGTATTAGAGAAGGTCAAACCAAGGGCCACAAAAAAAAGCCTAAGGGCCAGATAGAGAGAACCCCCCGCATAAAAACTAATGAATGAGCACCTTCAAATTTACAACAATATTTTATGCTTTGTTACATACCTTATAATATTAGAGCCGCGGAGGTTATTGAAAATTATTAATGGAAGTCATTCTAAGTGATTCACTCAGTAGAGGGAAATTGCACACAATCTGACACATATATGAATGTTTTTTAGTGTTTCATTTCATTATTTCTGATAGTGTAAGCAACGTCTTTTTCACTCCAACTTTTGTTTTGGTTCAGTGCGACTTCCAAGTGATTTACGCCAGTGGCATTCAAGGTAAGGCTGGATTATCTCCTGAAAAATTGGGAGAAGATCTTGGACCACTTTTTGAGTCTATTATCAGATGCATCCCTGGACCACGTATTGACAAAGATGGTGCATTGCAAATGCTTGTAAGTGATCTTTCTTTTTATTGTGAACACTTCGTTTACCTTCAATAATATAATTGATTTGAACTGTTGAAGATCCGCGAGAATATTATTACATATCACATCTTTATGGATAATAAAAGAACTTTTACAAGTTAGTTTTCTAGAATGATAGTATCCTAAATCCTAAACCAAAAAACACATGAATTCAATTTCTGACTTTTCATTATTTAACGTAAAAAACTGTACTATCTTGTTTGGTTTTGAAATATTCTACTTTTATTAATCTAAGTTTCACACACATCATAAGTAAGCTTGTTCAAGCCA